GGAACCCCGCCTGTGGCCGCACCGCCTCCGGCCTCGGGGGAGCCGGGACATGGTGCGAGGCGCGCCGCGCCGTCGCCGCCGCTGAACTCGCGGGCCGCGCCCGGCTCGGACGTCCAGCGGGAAGATGTTCTCCGCGCTGAAGAAGCTGGTGGGATCGGAGCAGGCCCCGGGCCGGGACAAGAACATCCCCGCCGGACTGCAGTCCATGAACCAGGCGCTGCAGAGGCGCTTCGCCAAGGGCGTGCAGTACAACAGTGAGTGCGCGGGACCGGGCGGGCGCAGGGTCCGGGCCTGGCGGGGGCGGCCCCTAGCCGCGGGTCAGTCCCGGGGCGTCTCGTCCGACGGCTGCGGGCCGAGCAGTGCCGCGTCGAGAGCCGCCCGCTACCGCGGGCGTCCGCCTTGGGGCCGTTACGTAACGCGCGGGCGGGAGCGCGGAGGCCGGCTCCCGGGGCGCTCGCCGGGGACGCGAGAGGCCGGGTCGGCTCTGCGTTGAGCCGTGGGCTCTTCTTTGTTGACTTGGTGACCAGCTGGAAGCAGAACATCATAACTGCTACTCCACGCATTTTCTCTTCTTTTTTAAAGAGGCAATTGAAAGGGATATATTTAGAAAGGCTCCAGGAGGCAAGTCTCTTCTTGTGGTTGTTGGAGACCTCTCTGTCCGTGCCGGAAGGAGGGGTTGTGCAGACGCCCTGTGCGCCCAGGACGGATCTATGTTCCTTTATAAATTATGTAAATTGTGCAGCTCCCAGATGCGGACTGTCCTCTTGACCTCTTTTGAGCTTTTCCATTTGTAGGCTCTATATAGCAAAATCTGAAGGCTTTTATGTGGTTTCCTGCTCTGATACTTTTTCGCTAAATGTCTGGAGATTTTGGAACACACTCCACCCCACTTAACTCACTTTAAGGGGTCCCTTATGTTGTCCATTATATTTCGATGGTAATATGGCATATTAAAGAAACTGATAAGGAAGACTTTGTGCAGGTTTGAAAGCAAACTCATTTTAGATGTGTGATTTTTGACATTTTGCGTTTATTTCTCGCACAGAGAATATTAAGTCAAAATATTCATTTACCCAAATCTTTGAGAATCTACATTTGGATTCTTTATTTAAATTTATTGCTTGCAGTGATACTTTTAAACCTAATTGTAGTCCCTTGGAAATAGGACCTGAACTACAAATTGATCACTTTTTCAGAAAGGGCTCCCTAAAGGCCTGCCCCCTTGTGGTCCCCGGTAGAAGGGACTAAAAAGGGCTGTGGAATTGTAATTCTTAAGATTTAAAAAACTATTCTCCAGTAGCTCAAGGTGCCAAGTTGAGAGAAATGTGGATTTGTACCAAAATTACGTTTTAGAAGGATATTGTTATTATTGTTAAATAATACACAGTTTTGAAAGTTTTCCATTTCCTGTGTTAGAATACAAAATTTCTAGTGCACATTTCCCAGACCAGCAATATCATAAACCAGCAATATCATAATTGTAGATTTAGTATTCTTATCAACTGTTTTATTTCCAAGCATTTATCTCTTATAGAACATTGTCCCCTGGGGCCAATTAGTCATTTTCTTTTAAATGATAGGATAGTAAGAAGTAAGTCACATCACACATTCACAGAGTCCCAGCACACCCATCAAATCAGAATCAAACCCTGAATGAGACAGTGGATCTTATTCCCATTTTAGAAGTCATTTGCATTTAAACTAGAAGGAAGAATGTTTCCATGGTCAGTCCACCCTCTTCTCCTGCTGTTTGATGAGAAGTGTTAGTGTGGGGCAGCCTCCTGAAGGAGGAATCCCTCGATGTGGAACTCTCAGCTGGCCTTGCTGAGGATCCTGGGACAGAGACCTGCAAGAGAAATTCAGTCGACAGACAGGTGAAGCAGCACAGTAACTCAGTGGAAAAGAGAATCAGTCCTGGAAAAGTGTGGCAGAGCAACTAAGCAGATTAGATTCCAGCACATGTCTGAACAGGTTTCAGAAGGAAAGCACAGCAAGAATGGAGACAAGGCAGCATTTGAAGAATTGAAGACTGAGGATTTTACAAAGTTCATGAAATATGTGAAACTCCAAGAAGTGCTGGTCCAGAAATTTAAAAAATATCCGCAACTAGATACATTATTGAAAGTGTTCAGTACTTTAAAATGTAAAAAAGAAATCTTTGATGTATCTAGAGCAAAAAGACCACTTTCTGAGGACTGAGCTAAGGACAGCTCTGGGGAGCTTAGGGCCTAAGTTAGGTCATGGTCAGCCTGGGGAGTCTGTGCCTGGCTCTACAGCTGTGGTGGAAGGAATATGGTTAAAATTGCTTTCAGCCTCAGATTGATAGCCTTTTATACAGAGGTGGTTGCAGAAGCATACACTGAAGGATGTTCTTTAGACAGATGGAAATTGAACTCAAAAGAGGTGCAGGATTTAAAAAACAAAGGTAAGCAGAGGAATTGGTTGGTGTGAGTGAAATCTAAATACGTTGGTTACCTTAATCATTAATGATAATGGTTTATGTGTATGTTTCTGTTACAAAATACCAGAATAACAACAAGGAAAGGTTTATTTTATCTCAAGGGTTCAGTCCATGGTCAGCCAGCTCCATTGCTTTTAGGTTTGTGGCAAGACAGAAAACATGTAGAAGCAGGTGGAGGAAAGTTGCTCACCTCAGGCAGTCAGGAAGGAGAGAGAGAGAGAGAGAGAAAACGAGCTCGCACACGAGGAAAGGGCCAGGAAGCAAGACATGCTCTTCCAGGGCACGCCTCTAGTGGCCTACTTCTCCAGCTAGGCCTAACCTACAGTTTTCACTAATCCTAATAGTCTACTCAATTTTTTTTTTTTTTTAAAGAGAGAGTGAGAGAGGAGAGAGAGAGAGAGAGAGAGAGAATTTTTAATATTTATTTTTTAGTTTTCGGCGGACACAACATCTTTGTTGGTATGTGGTGCTGAGGATCGAACCTGGGCCGCACGCATGCCAGGCAAGCGCACTACCTCTTGAGCCATATCCCCAGCCCTAGTCTACTCAATTTTGAAGCCATCAGTGGATGAGCAAATCAGAGCCCTCGTGACCCAGTCACTTCCATATAAGCCTATGTCTGGACATGGCTGCATTGGGAATGAAGCTCTCAACACATGAGCCCCATGGGGTGTGGGAGCATTTCAGATCCAGACTGTAACAATCAAGAATATAAAAGAAGGCGCCAAAAAAGTAGAAATCACAGAGACCAGGATGAGAACTGAAAAGAAAAGTGTGTTAACATTAATCTACATTACAGTAAATGTGAATGTTAAAATTTTTAAGAGTCACTGTTCAAAGAAAAAATAGTTTGCAACTCTTCAAATAAATACCAGGTAAAAAGAAGGGGAAAAAATCTTGTCCAACCTATGAAAGACAGCAAAGGCTGCAAGAAAAACCAGGATAGTAACTTAAAATTATAAAACGAAGTGGTTAGAAATAACACCATCTCTGTCATCAGTCACACAGTATCATCAAGCAAGACTCACCAGTTCAAAATAGGAATGGGAGGCTGATTTTTTTTTTCCCTTTAATTTACCCATATGGTCTCCAAGAGACACTCCAGAACTTAATGTCAAAAGCTGGGAATAAGGACTTGGGAAAAGATAATGGGCAAGCATGACCCATAAGAAGGCTGCCCCAGCTGTAGTAATGTCACACAGAACACACTTTGAGGTAAAAGAATGGATGGGAACAGGGAGGGAATTGCAGACAAAGAACAATTATTTGTATGTGATTCTTCAGTCCCTCTCGAGAAGGGTTAGCCAAGAAAAAGGACAATCTCAAAAAACACCTAAGAATCTATATCAGGGCAGGTGCGGTGGTGCACGCTTGTAATCCAGCAGTTCAGGTGGCTGAGGCAGGAGGATCACGAGTTCAGAGCCAGCCTCAGCATCTTAGGCCCTAAGCAACTCAGTGAGGCCTGTCTCTAATAAAATACAAAAAAGGGCTAGGGACGGGGCTCAGTGGTTAAGGCCCCTGGGTTCAATCCTTAGTACCCCCTCCCCCCCAAAAAAAAAGAAGAATGTATGTGAGGACCACATTCTGTGACGACAGTGCCACTGACAGGGTCTGGCTATGTTGTCTTTGCTGTTCTCATGGGCTCAAGTGGCACTCCTGCTTCAGTCTCCCAAGTAACTGGTATGTGCCACTGCACCTAGCTCCCAGCTTTGTTCTGAAACTTGAAAACACTTCTGTGTCAGCCAGTGCTCTGTAGCTCGAACAAATGCTTGAAATAGTCAACTTACAACAAGGAGAGGTTTATCTTGGCTCAGTCTTAGAGGTTTTGGTTGGGGGTTGATTGGCCCCAGGCTTTGGGCTTGTGCAGCACATCATGATGGGAGTCCATGGCAGAAAAAAGCCACTCACCTGTGTCCAGAGGCTCGAGGTGGGCATGGGTGAGAAGAGATCAGGGTCTCACTGTCCCCTTCAAGGGTACAACTCTAAGACCTCCTACAAGGCCCCACTCCTAAAGGTTTTACTGTCTTGCAGTAGCATCGTGCTGGGAATGAAGCCTGTGATACACGGGCCTGAGGGCAGGGGGTTTAAGATTCAAATTGTAGGGGCTGGGGTGGTGGCTCAATGGTAGAGTGTTAGCAATCTAGCACAACTAAATAAATCCTGAGCAAGTAGAAGGAAGAAAATAATAGGCAAAAAGCATAGACATGATAAAAAAGGACCAATGGAGACATTCAGCAAAACAA